GGGATTCGACCCGTATTCGGCAAAAACCGCGTATCCGAGCAGGGTCAGCGTCGAGGCGTCAATGATCGATTATCGATATTTTTCCATTTGAAGCTATGGTAAAGAATCGATTATTAAGGTGCTCGCTGCGAACACCCTGTTTATCGATCCTTTTCCGTAGGTTTAAAGGGTAGATCAATCGATATATCGTGAAGAACGCCACGCCACTGAATCGAGCGAAGTGCGGTTCTTGCAGAAATCGAGTGCCGAATGCGGGATCGGCGGCGACGCGATAAATCATCCGCCAAAACGGTCCACTACCCCCGCACCCCGGGACACGAGAGGAGGGGGTGCGAAAAAGAAAAACGATTAAATCATCCACTCAACCGCTCCTCGGTGAGTGAGCGGCTCACTTCAATTCGGAATCAATCAATCCCCCGCGATACCTCTCCACCCCCCCTGCCCCCCTCGACCCCTCGTCTGAAGCTCGTGTAGCCCGGTGTAGCGGAGAAATTAAGTTTTTCGAATAAATCCAGTTCTCACCGCGGGGATATCGGGCGGTTGATCGGAGAGTGGAATCCGAAAATGAACGGAGAAATACTCCGGGCAGGGTTGCCACAATCAAGGAAAATCCGGAAGTATCAGGGAATGGAGAATTTGCACGCAAATTTTTTATTGCTTCATCTGGAAGTGCTTGAAGAGCTGATTTCACAGTATTTTTCATAATTTTTTTCAGATATGGGAAATAGTGTAAAAATAGATTTGAAAAGTGAGAAAATGCACTGCCTAGTGGAGTCATCTGACGGCATCACACATGTATTTTAGCTGATAAGGTTATTTTGTCGTATCTCCTCCAATAATTGTTCAATTTATGAACCAAGGGTATCGTCGTGTTCAAATCACATGGTAGAGTCCACTTAAACACGGAATTAATCAAATTTCAGACACATGCAAATTCTCCATTCTATCAAGTCAGTGGAACTGAGAAATGTCAAGGAGATCGCGGAAAATACCGCGGCAGGGTTGTCGCGATCGGAGAAAATCGGGAAATCAGGGAAGTCAAAACGCTTTGAAAACGTAAATTATTTCTTGTCTTCAGTGACGATTAATTTGGCAGTTGTCGGACAATTTGTTATTAGTTGGACTTTATTACAAGGAACTACTATTCATGGCTCATCTGTAGAAGAACCTAGGAAAACTTATGGTGTATACGTTGTTTCTAAAATGAGCCAGAAATGAACTGCATTTTGCAATTTGGAGCTATAAATTCTGGCTCTTCTGAAAAAACATTTATGTGCATACGGAAACTAATGGCACATACGTTGTTTTTAAACCGGACTAGAATGCATAGTTCCAAATTGCAAAATGTAGTCCAAATAGCACTACCTTATCGCGAAATGCACCCCAGGTATTCCTCAAATCTTCGCAACAACTTTTTTTTTTTTTTTTTTTTTTTTTTTTTTTTTTTTTTTTTTTGTAATTTACACAATACACAAATTACACTTGGAATTTCTAGACCTATATAGTTAGGTCTTTTCAAATGCTCCTTCAACAATTTATACCAAGTATATAAGTAACAGACACTCCTTTGGAGATGTTCACAGAATTAACAGAGATATAAGCACCGAGACCCTTGCTACAAGTGTTTTCTCCACTTCCACCATCGGCCGAGCCAACGAAATCGCAGCCGAATCTCGTATCCCGCCAAGTCCGACGCCGCAGCGTTCTTC